TGCCTGTCGTTCTCTCGCGCGCGCGCGTGCGTGTTCTATCTCTAATATCTCGCTGCCTGTCGTTCTCTCCCGCGCGCGCGTGCGTGTTCTATCTCTAATATCTCGCTGCCTGTCGTTCTCTCCCGCGCGCGCGTGCGTGTTCTATCTCTAATATCTCGCTGCCTGTCGTTCTCTCCCGCGCGCGCGTGCGTTTTCTATCTCTAATATCTCGCTGCCTGCCGTTCTCTCCCGCGTGCTCTCTCCATCACTCCATCCCTTCCTTCATCACCCTCGACCCTCTCGATCTCTCTCGCTAAACTTACTTTACTATCGTTCGGTTTGATGCAGATCGCTTACAGCAGCTGACGATAGAGGACGCTGCCGGCGCTATTGCTAAGCAGACGGATGAGAGGCGCACGGCTATAGTTTTCATTGCCTACCACCGAGGCGGCAGCACGTTCACCGGCGACATGCTCAACGTTCATCCGGACGTCTTCTACCTGTACGAGCCGCTGCGGCAGATATGGCAGGCGAACAAACACCTTCCCGGCGTCGACGACGACGTACTGGAGACGCTAGCCTTGCAGGCGCTGCCGAGGTTCCTGCTCTGCCAATTCTCGGACCTGCCAATCGACTGGTTCGTCGACGGTGTCGCCGAGAAGAAGGGCATATTCGCGCGAAATAGCGCCCTCGTGCGAGGGCTCGGCTGCGAGAAGACGAAGACGTCGGTGGAGCAGTGGCAGTCGTGTCCGCTGGGGAAGCTCACTGTCGGCAGCCTGGAGCGAGAGTGTCTCTCGAGGGTCGTCGCCACGAAGCTGATCCGACCGACGATAGGGGGTGCGATCTTGCCGCTGCTCGACGACAGTCGTCTGCACGTCAAAGTCGTACATCTGGTGCGCGATCCTCGCGGGCTGCTCGCATCCGTGCACAAACTCCCCAGCACGCATCCCGACCACGTTCCCGCCAGGATGATTCGTGCCGAAGCCAAGCGCATCTGCGCGCGCATGCGCGCGAACATGTTCAGCGCCGAGGGCATCCGAAGTAGCGACTATCTGCTGCTGCGCTACGAGGATGCGGCGATTCACACGGCTAGCTCCATGGAAGAGCTGCACAGCTTCGCCGGTCTGGCCAGCAGTCGGCAGCTGCTGGAAAGTTTCGTGGCGGCGCACACGGGACCTGCCATCGGTTCTAACTACCACTGGGAGGCGGTCCGCGAGAACTCTACGGCCACGGCGCTCTCGTGGACCATGACCCTGGGAAGACGCTCCGTTATTCAGATAGAAAATGTCTGTTCGGACGTGCTTCAGGCACTAGGGTATAAACGAATGTATAGTAGATAACCTTTGGCTCTCGCGTCGGTTTGGGTTCACAGTTACGTGGGGTTGTATCGTGTGATTTTAATTATAGTGCTGTCGAAATCATATGTTACCTATATACATTGTGTACATAAATAAAATTTGCGGCTGGATCATTACCAAGTATAAAGTATACACAGAATGTATAACAAGCACACCTATTTGCATTGTGTGTCTTAATCGATCGAAAACGGTTTGAATATCCTTCAAATGTTGCTCAAACGTAGCGGAAAAGACGACGATGTCGTCAATATAAACCGTAGCACATACGTTAAGTAAACCCTTTAACACAGAATTTAAAAGCTGTTGAAATATACCTGGTGCCCCGGAAAGGCCAAAAGGTAAATATTTCCGCAGATAAGAATTTGAACACGTTACCGTACAAGTTTTTAATTTATCAATGGGATCCATTGGAATTTGAAAATATCCTGATTTTAAATCCAAAGTTGTGTAATATTGCGACTTACCTAAACTGGCTAGAATGTCGGCGATTAAAGGTAGGGGATACGAGATCTTTGTTGTCAGGGCGTTTAATCGGCGGAAATCAATAACTAAACGTCCTGCGGGGTCGTCACGTTTTTTAACTAAAAAAACAGGGTGAACTCCAGTCTGAGGTACCTTCTTCGACTATACCTGCTTGTAATAGCCTGTCGAAATGTTTATTCATTTGTTCCCTTTGTAATAGAGGTGTTCTGTAAGGTCTCTGTTTGAGAGGGGCGTTATCTCGCGTATCAATTTTCATGTGCACTAGCTTAGTCGAGCCAAGCTCATAATCATTGCTTGCAAATAATTCCTTATTAGTTGTAATTAGTTTCTGCATTTCGTCCCGATAGGTGGCGTGTAAGTGGCTTAACTTGACCAAACGACTGCTATTGTTAGGAGGGTGGACTGGTTTATCCTTGGGCATGTCATTAGCATTTTGTAGTGGCACTGTTAATGACCGTGTAGAGGCCTGCATAGAATTCTGTACACCCATACGGGGCAGGTTTGTAGGCGCGACAAACGGTTGACAATCACGTACTAACGCTATGCGCTGTATGTATGGGTACTCGCCCTGCTGTATGTATGGCGCATGGCGTGTGCGCACTGGTGTGTATAATGCTATCTCTGTACCTGCTTGTATGAATGTGCCTGCTAGCGTGGCATTGTGTAAAGCAATCTGTGTTGTGTTGACCGCTGGCCGTCGTGTATGCGTGTCCGTGCTGTTAGCAATCTGTATTTTACCTGCACACATACGCGTAGCCTTCGCCGGAATATGGATGTCTGAGGTAACTATAAATGTCTGAGCGGACTTTGAATCCAAAATTTGTATTGTAGAATTATTTATGATTAACCGTCGCTGTGCGCAATCTATGATAACTTTATGGTACTGTAGAAAGTCATATCCAAGCAAGACAGTTTGAAACAAATCTCGCACAATGAAAAATGTGTGTTTAACTGTTAAGTTCGCTATTGTTATAGGCAAAATTGCTTTCCCTATAACAAAAAGATCTTTCCCGCTAGCGGACCGTAATATTTGCGTGTGAGCTGATGAGAAAGCATACGAGAATTTTGATTCAAGCTGTTCCCATAGAGCCTGAGTTATAATCGATACGGCCGAACCAGAATCAATAAGTGCATGTGATTGTTGCTCTGCGACTGAAACTATACATAGTGGTAAATTGTTAGTGTTTGTCGTTAACGAGGGGTCCAATCTATTGTTATCTAAGTTAGAGCGAGATGTTAAATTCACCGACTCTATCGTCTCGCATTGCGAAGATCGGTGGGAAGGTTTACCGACCTCCAAGATGGCGACTGGCGTGAACAATTCGCCCAGAAATGGCCCGCGGTGTTACAAATCACACAGATTGGAACGCCTGTCGCTGTGTACCGGAATGTCGCATCTCTGCTGGGAGTGATTAGTGGGCGCTGCATTTGTTGCTGCTGTGGGTAATTAAACTGGGCGGGGTACCGTGGTGGCGGGCGCATGGTTGACATATCACGCTGTTGCGGTCTAGAAAATGCTTGACGTTGGGGAACATACTCTCGTTGACTCCAGTTAGTGTATCGCACAGGGTTTGAATTTTGATAACTGCCTCCGTTATTGTACCTAGGCTGCGGCGGCGAATAATTAGCGTTCTGTCTGGCTGGTCGCTCATCAGTAGTTTGTCTGTCTGGTCGCTCGACATTGTCGTAAGCCTGTCGTAAAGCTGTGACTAGTTTACGAATATCATTGATCTGTCGCTGAACTGTCTGCGAGTCTGTTAACGATATTGCTGTCACGTCTGGGTCGTCAGTGGACCTCTGAATTCTCATGTTAATTTCTTTTTCCAAAACTGATTCATATTTGGCAATTTCTACCGCTTTTTGAAATGTAGACGGTTTTTTCCGCACTAATTTTTTCTTTAAAACATCAGCGTTTAAACCATCAATAAAAGCGTCAATATACCTTAGTTGTAGACTTACATCGTTATCATCTAACTGGCCGAAAGCCATTTTTCCCAGCTGTTCCAATCGTTTAGCAAACGATGAAAGGGATTCTGAATGCCTTTGCTTTATCTTTTTCAATTTTTGAAAAGCGAGCGGTGCTTCACTCGCATCTGTGTAACGTGTTTTTAAAATTTCCAAAAAATGTTTCCACCGAATTTCAGGTGAAACGGTTAGAATCTCAGCGGCATAATTCGCCGGTTCGCCTCCAAGTAAACGAAAAGCGAGACGAACGCGTCGTTTATCATCAGTCTCGTCCAAAATAACAAATAGATGGGAAATGTTTTGGGCCCACTGAGTAAAGGTTACTGGCGTATCATCTGTCCCGTTAAACTCTTTATACCCTGATACGAGTAATAACGATTGTATTTCCTTAACCAATTCCTGCATAGGTTGCTTTGGAAAAGAAATCTCTGTGTCTCGCGCGTCAACTTCGTCATCTGACACATCTGCGTTACGACGATCTATGTTATCGTCGGAGAGTAGTGGGTGGGTTTGAATACGGGGTGTAACAGTTGTCATGATTAAAATTTACAATTAGTTATAATAAGATTTTAGGGTAGTAACGGTTCACAATTTGCGATGCGTATCCCAACAATTCGATATATTTCAATCATAAACTAGCACTTACGATTTCATCGTGATAGAGTTATGGCAGCCCGTATTCTGTTGACTTCGTATTTGTGCTCACAATCTCGGTGTATGCGTACACAGCCGAGCGAGGTATGAAAAACAAACTTATGTTAGACGCAGTACGTGTGTTATAAACAATAATCTCAACACAAGAAAAACGTCTTGTAGTACTGTAGCTTACGTACGAGACTGTACGGTAGCTGTATAGTCAGTACGTATTTCAAAGGTATATGAAATATACTTTTAAAATTATATGAGACTCTGAACATATATTAAACATACATACACATACACATACTTTAAGTACCTAGTATAGTCTATCTATTAAGTGCTAGCCTTACCAAGTTTTTAACCACGGCACCAGCTGTAATACTTCTTTTCCCATCCGTGTATACGTGTACGCTCAGGTGTGTCGGTGTGTGTGTGATCGTGTGTATGATCGTGGCTCGAGTGTATGATCGTGGCTCGTTACTAGTGAGTAGTGATAATGAGATATTGTTTTAGAATTTCTTATATGTAGTGCTCTGCACATACTGATCTAGCTCTAGAACTATAGTATAGCTCTCTGCTCCGCCGCAGGGCAATAGAACATACTATGGCAATTTCCAGGGAGTACCGTAACAAAGACAACTTTTTTGCGTTTAATAACTTGTTCGGTATGCCAAATAATGCACATTCTCTGCCGCACAAATGTCTTAAGTTACTACAAACACTAAAATTAAACCACAAACTACCGCTTAAATGTTGTACTTGCTATATTACTCGTCGACGAAGATTGTTTACCAACTTGTAACCGCCATTTTTCGCTAGTGGCACTAGTGAGCGGGCACAATGTGTTTCCAAGTGGAGGGGTGGGAAGGTTGCACGCAGTTGCAAACCGCCATTTTTCGTTGCGCAGCGCTAGCGCGGTTTGCAACCGCGTGCAACCGGGCCCACCCCTCCACTTGGAAATATACATTGTGCCCGCTCACTAGCGAAAAATGGCGGTTACAAGTTGGTAAACAATCTTTGTCGGCGAGTAATATAACAAGTACAACATTTAAGCGTTAGTTTGCGGTTTAATTTTAGCGTTTGTAGTAACTTAAGACATTTGTGCGGCAGAGAATGTGCTTTATTTGGCATACCGAATAAGCTACTAACCGCAAAAAAGTTGTCTTTGCTTACTCCCTGGAAATTGCCATAGCATGTTCTATAGCCCTGCGGCGGGGTGGAGGGCTATAGTTCTAGAGCTAATTAATACTGATCATGCACATTCAAACATCCACACATACCCACTTTACAGACATACAGTGACTATCATAACAGTAATTGTCCAAACTGGATTTATTGAAGCAGATGGATGACAAATTGACAAATCACCTGTACTTGATCAACTGATTGTTTCAGAGTTGCTCGGAGACTTGTTACGCAAGCGACCGAAAGAAACAGATGGCGTGGAATCGTGCATCGTTGTAGACAATATACCCCAGGTTGGGCAGGATCGACTGGAAAAACTGCAGATGGTCCTGCGAAAGATCTTCTCAAAGTTCGGAAAGATCGTCAATGAGTTTTACCCAAAGGAGAACGGAAAGACAATGGGGTGTGTGGCACGCGATCAGAAGTTCTACATGTATAGGATTAAACCTAATGTTACGATGCGAGAAGGCTAGAGACCCTGTGTTTTTTCATTTAAAAAAATTAAAATTGTTTAAATATACAGACTCAACTTCAGCCAACCATGTGAAGTGCCTATGGTCACATCTGCTTCTATGTGTTTTCATGCTAAACTAGTCGAGTTGGAAAAAGAAAACTCCTCTCTTGATTTACATTGTGATAACACAGTGCCATTGAAGCACATCCCCTTAATTTTCTCTTGGTTGAGGCTAGCTCTAGAACTATAGCCCTTCGCTCTGCCACAGGTGACTGAGCGAAGGGCTATAGTTCTAGAGCTAGGTTGAGGCATGCTTACAGTGCGTTTTTCACACACGACATTGCAAACATATTGGTCCCATGTCACGGGTCGCGGGCTGTATCTTTGTGGTCCTTATTTTACAGCTATGTGTTTTTTGAGTATGGGAACCCAAATAGTGCTAGGGAGGCTGTAAAGATGACAAAAGGCTACAAGCTTGACAAGCTGCACACCTTCGAGGTCAATCTGCTTACGGATTTTGACAAGTGAGTATAGGAAATGTGTTTCGTAGCTTGCTGTGGAAGGAGTTTATAAACTTACCACTCATGTAAATCTTTGACTCTTTGAATTCAAAAACCTTATTTCAGTCCGAGCATTTGCACTATCCTCGCTATCCTGGCTAAATTTCTATGTTATTCTCTCCATGTTTTTCTCATTTTGATTGAGAAATTCTAACTCACAGAGTGGCCATTTTTTTGTTTAACAAAAAGTGAAAATGGTGCATGCAGGGTGCGAAATTAGCACCGGCATATGCCGACAAATTATTTGGATGGCCAGTAAGATTGGCAAAACACCGGCCCTCCGAGCCGGTGCTTTCAGCCGTGTTAGCTAGTACCTACATTTTTGCTCACCTTGACATCGTCAAGATTTTTAGGCAAGTTTTAGGCAGTGCCTAAATCTGAATATTATAAAAACGTTAAATGGCGATCATTTAGGTGTAACGCCATCACTCGCCCACATCTCAGACTTTCACATCTCAAACATTATTTTCACATAAAAAATTACACATATAATTATCAAGAATATATATATAATGGGAGTTTTCCCATATATACTCTTTGTTTCTATAATGTACGTCGATGGTTGCTGAATTAAAACTGACTTCTTCTCACTCACTCATTTGTGTCCTTTTTTTGTGGTGAGCTACAGTGTCATTGACACTTTCATTATTTATAGCATTAATGAGCAAATAGCCTATATTAATATTTTACCTGAATGCAGGCATGAAAATTTCCCGCGTTTCCGCGGATTTCCGCTTTTTCCCCGATCCCAGAATTGTTTCCACATTTTCAGTTTTTTTTCGAGTTCACGTGCCGGTCATTTTCATGCCTGTGAATGATATCACGCTATAATATATCAACATTTTACGAATTTGAAATCGAGAATGCAAGCGCGAAACATGACATTGACAAAAACACTTCGGACATCATTCAAGATCTGCATTATAGTCTGTTCAACAGCAACCGCACACTTCAACATTTTTCAGACAAGCAAGAGTCGGTGAAACAGTCTTGCGTTTATTTTTGAGAAAAATAACAGAATTTGTGAGGGCTGGTAAATTATTGCTGTTACCAACCCTCTGGGCCAGTGCAAAAATCTTAATTTCATGCCCTGTGCATGTATTGTGTGTGCATAGCAGTTATGCTAAAAATGTGAAAAAAAGCAGATTAAAATTCCTTGCCTAGAAAGTTGAGGCTTGGCCATTTTCGTGGTTCATTGTGGATTTGTTGTCGTTGTCCAGGTACAGTAACATACCAGAAGACTGGGAACCTCCGGAACCACAACTCTACAAAGATCCGGTAAGGGTTGCGTGCTAGCCAGGTAGATATTGAGATTAGTAGTAATAATACCAACTATAGCTAATGTCACACTGAATTAATTTCCAATCTCCCGTAATTTGAACCAGCTTCATTTTGTCCCGTCAGAATCGTGCTAAAATATTTTGGACACTGAAATAGTGTTTTACATACTTAGTGAGTTGTGTTTCTCATTTCCTTATAAAAATTTACATGGTTGTCTTGTTAGCCTGATCTCTGTAAATTGTACGTATTCTTCGGCGCTCCCATTGCTAATGTTATACTTCTGTGCCTCGTTCAGGGTAACTTGCGGCATTGGCTGATGGACAATGACTGCCACGACCAGTACAGTGTGATTCACGATGGTGGAGATCGCACGTGCATCTTCCTCAACACGCCGCTAGAACCAAGGATGTTGGAAGAGCGAGCTGTGAGTTATCCAATGCGGAAGCGATTGTGAACGAGGAGAGAGAGAAAGCGAGAGCGTGCGAGAGAGAAAGATGAAAATGAGGGGAGAAACTGAGAGGAAAGAGAAAATTGTTAGAACTGTGACACTGGGGAATGGATGGCGATTAGTGAAACAAACCGTATGTGCGATTGATGCTTCTCGCCGCCAGTGCTGGTTTTGATGTCGCTGATCATATAGTATTCCATAATTCCATTTAACAAATATATTTGAGAGTTAGCGTGGATTATGGTAACAGCGGTTCATCACCGTACTTGTGTTGGATCACGTTCCTTCCCGAGGCAAATGTGATCGTGTTTCTTCTACAGAAATGGACCGAGACGTACGTGCGCTGGTCACCACTGGGCACGTATCTCGCCACGTTCCACCAGCGCGGCATCGCTCTCTGGGGTGGCGAGAACTTCCGGCAGATCATGAAATTCAGCCACAGCGGTGTTCACCTGATCGACTTTTCGCCGTGTGAAAAGTAGGTGCCCAGGCTTCGGGTGGGTAAGCTCGTTTATTAATAGACGCGAACAGGAGAGATGCAGTCGAAACTGTCTCCGATGAGAGTTGCCGTTCACACGAGTTAAAGAATGGTCACGAAATAAGAGCTAAAGGTCGCCGTGGGGCAGCTGGAAACCTTCACACTTCAGCGCCATATTGTAATGTCCCCTCTGTCTCTGAGCAGCAGGGTTTGCGTTACCGTCGTGTGTCGTTTTTACGTTGTCGGATATTTGTTGAACACTGTTTGGCGTTACTTCTCCAGGTATCTGGTCACGTTCAGCCCACTGCCCGACAACAAAGACGATCCTCAAGCGATCATCATCTGGGATCTGCGCACCGGCATCAAGAAGCGTGGCTTTCACTGCGAGAAGGATTCGGTGTGGCCCATATTCAAGTAAGGGTTATGCTTTTAGCGTTGTTGTTTGCAGTATCAACAATACCACCAAATTGTGTTTCGTTAGAGCACGGGGACTGTGTTGACGGCTGACTGAGTTTTAGTGTGCGATTTATACTAGCCTGACAAATGATTGCTTTTTTGAATAGGTGGAGTCATGATGGAAAGTACTTAGCTAGAATGAGCCCAGACACGCTGTCTGTCTATGAGACACCGGTGAGCATTTGTTTCCTATAAAATTGCTGTTGTAAAGGGTAACGTGACTCATTTTGTGCTAAACTCAGCTGTATTCGTCCTGCGTCGTGAACATTGTTTACGTGTACCATGAGAGCTGAGTGATTGTCTTGTGTGAGAAATTAAACGTGCGTGTTGTGGCGTGGCAGCATTGAGCTGTCCCCTGAGGTGTTGACACAAGTTGCTCTAGTATGTTTGCTCACACACAGCGTGGTGCAGGTTGGTAATGTGTAATATGTAATTGTCATTGTAATCGTAAATGTCATGTGCATCTTATGTGCACTTCTGGCCAGCCATAAAATATGCTACTGTGCAGCAATGAACATTGTACGTACGCCTGTTCCACGCGATTAGGTTGCTACTAGGTTGCTCATGCGATTCTTTGCTCGTCCCCCTGCAGTCGTTCGCGCTACTGGACAAGAAGAGTCTGAAGGTCACGAATCTGAAGGACTTCTCCTGGTCTCCGTCGGACAACATCATTGTCTACTGGGTGCCGGAGGACAACAACGTGCCCGCACGCGTCGTCCTCCTCGAGATGCCGAGCCGCAAGGAGCTGCGCGTGAAGAACCTGTTCAGGTGAGACACGCGCTTGCCATGTCGACAACCGCGGCGCGTGCGCTCGACTGAGCGCGCATGTTGCCTTCACCTTAAAGAAATTAATTGATGGTGGTTAATTATTGATATTCTAAGAATAGTGTGTGTGTGCGTGTGCGCGCGTGTGTGTGTTTGCATTTGACATGGTGCTTCCGAAATATACTGATATGCTGAGCCAGTGACTGACCATGTGTGGTTCTTTTTGACAGTGTGGCCGACATCAAGATGTTTTGGCAGAAGACAGGCGATTACTTATCTGTGAAGGTTGACCGCTATGCTAAGTCCAGGAAAGATGACAAGGGGGAGGTCAAGTTTGCCGTAAGTAGCCTACGGTGATGTGAATAGATCCAGGAATATGTGATGAATGGGGCAGCATAAATGTAAACAGATAAATCTCACCTGTAATTTTGTTAATGCGTAAAACGCCCAAGTCGGGAAATCGCTCAATCGATAAAGCTGGTTGCGTATTTGTTTCGCTTTGTGTCTACTCATTCATAAAATCTTGTCAATGTTTAACAGGGCATGTACTACAATTTCGAAATATTCCACATACGAGAAAAGCAAATACCAGTGGATGTCGTGGAATTAAAAGGTTTGTAGTCGGATCATGCCCCTTAGGCAGTGTGAAGGATGTGGTAACCGTGCATCTTGCTCAGCGTCATTTTTTTTCATTCACCTACTACTTAACTTGTACTGCAGAATCGATTCTCCCACAAGACCTTGGTTATTATAGCCTCGCATCTAAATTTTTACATCAGCATCTACCATGCTGATGTTATATTGGTAGGTTTATTGTCAGTAGCCGAGCACAATGACCTTCGCTCCTGTCCGTTAACGTTGGCATTACATGGTTGTTAGCTCGTGCGTGTATACATCGGCCCTCAATCACGAAAGGTTTCCTACTTGTAGGAACAGATTTAGCGAGGTACTAGCACGGTCGGATGCCTGCGAAATGTAATTGTTACGTGCGGTTTCAGAGCCCATCATCGCATTCGCCTGGGAGCCAGTAGGCAGCAAGTTTGCCGTGATCCACGGAGAATCGACACGAATCACCGTTAGCTTCTACACCGTCAAGTCCGACAACCAAGTGTCCTTATTCAGTAAGTACGGTTTCAGTTGCGGCGGCATTGACACTGAGCGTGGGTACAATATCGGCGGACTTTGCTCACGACGTCGGCTGTATGCTCCCGCAGTTCCACTTCTACGCACGTCTCTGTCGGAGGCGGCGCTGCTGCGCCGTTCGCTAACGATCGTCTCTGCCGATCGCTATCTGACGTCACTATTGGCCTCGACACGCCCCCTTAGACGGCGAGTTTACTGGACGGTTTGGAATGGTCAAGTTGTCCGTTCTACGTGGCTGCATGGCATGGCACGACTAAGCTTAATCGTCTTTAAGATTAATTGTTTCCAAAACCTGCCGCGACATCCTAACATTCTATCCCTTAGGCTAGCCGGTAGCTTTACAACTTCCTTAATTAGTTTCTTCTAATCAACTTTCCCTCTTGGTAATATTAGCTTCATTACATATGTTACCTATATACATTGTGTACATAAATAAAATTTGCGGCTGGATCATTACCAAGTATAAAGTATACACAGAAAGTATAACAAGCACACCTATTTGCATTGTGGTGCCAGTATATTTACCCTCTATTGTAAATATAAACAACAAACCTGCAATTAATAGCTCCCATTCTTTTATAGTTATATATAGAAATTGCCCATTCTCTATTGCTATATTGCTCTATTGCTATTGCTCTATTGCTCTATTGCCCATTCTCTTATATAAATTTAGAAACCTGAGACATAACTTAATTATTAATTTACACGCTCATTACAAAATATTGACGCGGTGGTAGGCACACTTTTATTTTTTCTCTATTATTTGAATATATTATAAAAACATGGCGTGTCCTTGCATCAGGCAGTAATCAAAATAAAGCAACTCCTACGTAAAGCTATGCATATGGCATGTTTTTCTTAATCTGTAAACGCTACAAAAAAAACCGAGCTTGTTTTAATGAGCCTCCTTTCTTCAAGTTTGGAAATATCAAGGACGGATAGGAAATAGGAGTATAATAAGTGGAGCTCCGTCTTATTACATAAGGGGGCAATGTGTTTCATTTTTGTTCTATAGAAAACGTTCCTAGTGCATGAGTATGCCCTCTATCTTTTAATTACATAATTTCATCTTCATATCATATCTGTTAGCATATAGTAAGCCTGCGCATTGACACGCCTGGCCATATTATCTATTGCGCATTATAGAAACGTTTTGAAGATTTGCCGCCTTATAATTAATCAGGGGAGTCATGTGGATGAATATGATTTTATAACAATCTAATCCTTAATATGTGTTCTCTACAACCAGGTTCATAATTTTTACAAAATTATATATGAAGTATTATGAACCTACGTATTGCATTCTATACTTCTTGTGCGCGACACTAGCGCCGACCAACGGCAGCGAAAAATGTATATGACATAGACATTACAAAAACACAGTTACAAGTTGTGTATATATGATATTTATGCTACAGAGTTATGTAGAAATCAAAAGGGGCATATAACACAGGCACTTAGACCGTTTCAATAATAAAATTATAGTCAATAAAATCAAATTGTAATTACTACCAACATCTCCGTGTTTGTGTCTCTACCTAATAGTTCCACGTAAATGTCATTCATTTACTCCTATATATACTACACACAATCTCACCGCACTCACGCCACTAAATACTAAGCACAACGTTACAGAAAGACAGAGAAATGAGATGAGAAGGAGTGTGTGTGTGTGTGTGTGTGTGTGTGTGTGTGTGTGTGTGT